GGATTGACCTCCATTCATCAAATCCAGGCCTCGCTTGAATTATTGATCTTGTTCGGATGGGATAAACTAAAGTCTCTGCCACATCAGCTTCGACATCTCACTGCCCTCAAGCAATTGATGTTAGAGAACTTCAATGGCCTAGAAGCTTTGCCAGAGTGGTTGGGAGACCTCTCTTCTCTTCATAGGCTGGAGATCTTGAATTGCTCTAATTTGACTCATTTGCCTTCTATTGAAGCCATGCGACGCCTCTCCAACTTACAATATCTTTGCATTTGGGATTGTCCTAAATTGAAGAAAAGATGCGCCAAAAAGAGGGGCCTCGAATGGTCCAAGATAGGCCTCGAATGGTCCAAGATATCCCACATTCACAATATCAGTATAGATTGGGAGGACGTGAGGCAGGGGGAATGCAAATTCTCCATGGGTATGTTTAATTTTTGAAACCTTAATCCTTCCATTCCATATCATTTTTGTATACCCTAAGCAGAAATTTAACAACTGTAAAGCATTTCTTTTTAATTTCTGAAACATACTAACATATTATGTTATTCAAAAATTCAAGTTGTAGTCTTTGACCAAATTTTGGTGATTCTTGCAGAGTTCTATTGGTTGTTAAGATTGCGACATCAAGTGTGGATGTGATGTGTTGGTATGAGGTGAAGTGCAGTAAGCGATTTGAATCGATAAAAATCGTGGATATTGAAAAATCGAGTTAGTCAGACTAAATACTTATGCATCTGCACAGGCCTCAGAGTTCATCCAAAGCTAGTGAGTTCCTGAATTCCATTTTGTAATCCTTCTGTTCTTTTTTTTCTTTTTCTTTTTTTCATTCCAATTTCATAGCTCTGTTTTTTTACCAATAGGTCCTTTCTTATTTTCATAATTCTTAGGCATCAATCATTCCAGTAGCCATCGCCGAATTGTGAACTCATGCATAATCAAATGCTTAGATTAGCCAACTGTAAATTTCTGATGGAGTAGAAGACTGGCAAGACTGACAATCAAAAGCTTTCATTTTTAAGGTCTGTTTTTTCCTCCATAATCCTTTTTTTTTTTTAAGATTTTGAGTATGATTTGTTTTATTCTTATGTGTATTTCTTCATTAATTCAGTTTTGTTCACTATTTTCATTTAAATAAATGCAGGCAATCTAATTTTCCTGCTCTGAAACCAAAAATATCATGATGACTGGAGGGTGATTTTCATGCTGGGGACCCAACCAGATGAGTGGTCCTCTCTTTGAGTTGTTGATGCTCATAAACAGATTTAGCTATTCTACAGCCGTGTAGTTTTTGAATTATGACCACATTTTGAGGCGCAAGTTTACTGGTATATAGACTTCTGTCTTGCTGATCAAAGTCTTGAGCTGTCTCAGATTGCCAATTTAAGTGGACTGCCCTGCAAAGGTGGGTTCTAAAACTAAAAGTCATCTTTTAATTAGGGTTTGATTTTATTTTAGTAGGATTTGACTTCATTTTAGTGATTACAATTCACCAATAAAAGTTACATATAAGTTAAGGAAACAAGATATTCTTCTTTACTTGGTTAAGGAATGATCTGTAGAAATCTGCATTGAAACATTTTCAATCATGGTTGTTGAAATTTCTTCAGGGTTACTATGCCAATTGCCTAATCTGTTGTCAAACTAAACTCTTGGCTCTCTTGTCAGTGCATAAACCAAAGTTTCTTTAGGTTTGTCTTGTTACTTTGAAATCACATGTGCCTTTAATCGATTTATAAATTTGATCAGTTTAATTTCATATTAAATCAAACTTTAAGCAAAGAATTTATTACATTTAATGTTAGAGATTATGGCGTTTTTGCACTTGCTACTTTGCTGACTGTTATTGATTGAATCTAGAGTCTGGACTCCTTATGACTTTGTGAACTTCAACATTTTGAGAACATGCTTTTCCCATTGATAAGAGCAATGCAACGTCACTAGTATAACTGATGGCAGCAGTCTTTTCAGTTTTTCTTGGAACCTACAGATCCTGGTGCCATAGATTGTGTGTACACACATTTGCAGTAGTGAGGAAGACATTGAATTTTACTTGGAATTAACCAAAAGATCAACTCTTCCACCATTTCTCAGGGTCTTGTGGTTTTATGGTAGAATATCTCTTTCAACTGCCAACAACTGAAGAAGATGGTATGGCTTTTCAAACCTTTTCTTTGAATCTAAAACATATTATACCTTGTTTTGAATAAATTCTCCCTACAACTTAGAGTTTGATGATGTAATAATAGACATGCAATCAACAAATGGAGGGAAGTGAAACTGACAATCAGATCCCTGTGCACCAAGTTATTGCATGTAGGACGGTCTCAATGGCATCAATGTGGTTATGATAGAGTTATAACTCCGTAAGTTTTCCCCTTTAAAGGCGTTTCAATATTTTCATCGTGTTTTGTAGATGTAATTGATGGAAATGAGTAAAAAGGCCAACATTAGCATCTAGGAATCAATGATACTGAACAGATTGGGGTATTTTGTTTCAGGGATTTATCAAACAATGGCTTAATCAGAGAAGTGCAAAACTTTTGTCTCAGCTAGTCTTATTGAAGAAAATGTAAGTGCCAGGTGCATTTTGAAGGGTTCATTTCTTCTTTTCCCAGTTTCTTTTATTTGGTTATACTTATACATATAATGGACTCTCAGTCAAAGAAGGGATTATAATGACAGACACTGAAAGCACAAATTGGATAAAATGAACTCTCTTTTGTTCTTATTCCCTTGTGCTTTGTCGTCTTTACTTTATAATACTTGTTCTTGCTAGATTACATATAAATTGAAAATGTTGGCTTTGCAGGTTAAATCAAAGTTTAGCTGGTTAGCAATTCTATTTTTGTGGGAGCTTCTGATATATTCCTTGTCTTCTTACTCTGCTAATATCTAGGAGGAGATGGGGAATGCAATGAAAACAGAATGATTGGAGTTGGAATTCAGTATATTTCAGTGTTCATCAAAGCTTTGTAAGGCCTTGTCCTCCAAATTCTCACTTTTCTTTACACTAATTGCATTTTCTTCTGGTTGCTTTGTTCTTAACTTTGTTTCATTCATATTTCTGATATATTTCATCGTACTTCTCATACCATTACCAGGAAAACATTTTTGAGAGTGCATGTAGCAGTTCATAATTTGTTTCGTTTAGATTCATGTCTTGAAGCAGATGTGAACAAGATTATATGCTTCACTTTCTAAAATGCAAGGAGCAATTGGAGATATATGAACGAGAAAAAAGAGTACACCAAAAGAAAAGGTAGTGATTATGAAGCACAAATTAAACTATGTTGATTGCATTTCATTTATTTTGCTTTGATTCATTTCTAAAGAGTAAAATGAACCCTTGTTTCTTCAGTGCCTCTGTTCTTTGCCTTGGGAAGCTATGGCAGAAATCTACTGCGGCTCATTAAGTGTCTTCAAGCAGATGCTGTAATATGTTTCATCGTCTGAACTTATGCCTGTTTCATTCTCATTTGTTCTCCATTTTCCTGTTGTATTACTTGGTTTCTCTTTCCTTTTGCTGTTCTTGTGATTGTTTGAAGATGATTTTGCAACACTCTCTTGATATGGTGGAGCTATTTTTCATGGACCGGAGGTCCCGTGGTTTTTACTCTTCGATTTGAAGGGGTTTTCCATGTAAAAATTGTGCTGTCTCCTATGTGTGTTCATTTGCTTGAGCCATTTTCATTTGTTTACATGTTTAATTACTGTCGTATTTGTTGATCTGAAAAAGAAACTAATCTCATAAACCCTTCAAGTTTCACCTGTCATCTCGAATCACACTTGCAAATATGGGTTTAATAACAATATTCATTGGTAAATATTTACGAAACAAAGCCTATAGCTAGGAAGACTTTGTCCAATATTCCCTTATTTATTTGTCTGAGACTCTGCTTCACAGTCAAAGTATAAAATACCCTGCAAAAAAAATTGTATGAAATAATCCATATATAACCAAGATGGATTCAGTCGGCACACTTAAACAGTTGGATCAAGTTAATTTGTACTAAGTTAATAATTTGTCAAATTAACAAGTTAAATAACTTAATAATAATATTTTTTAGTAAAAATAACATTTTAAATTTAAATTATATTGCATGTGAATAAAATGAATTAAAAATAAAAGAAGGTTGTCTTCAATTATATCACATGAGATCAAAAGGGAAAAAAATTAATAATTCTTGAAAAGTACACTTGAGAGAAAAAGAGCAAACATAAATATTTCTTTTTTTGTTGGCAATAATAATATGAAAAAAAATTGCAGTATCTGATTGTACTAAAACTATATAATTAATTTTAATAAACATTTTTAACTCCTACAAAATAAATATTTTTAACTCTATTTTAAATCTAAATTTTAATAAACAGTTTTCAACCCCACCCTAAAACCTAAAAGATTTTCTCTACAGATATACATAGAAATATATGAGCTAAAATTTACTTATAAATCACTCTTATACTTATTATTTACATAAAATCTAAAATATTTATCTTTTATTAGAAATAATTGAGATTTATTTATATTTTTTTGTTATTTTTTAAAAGATAATATATATACACAACAAAGAATAGTGCAATCCGGCACAATAACCATTAGATAGTGGGTGGAATTTCTAATATTGAGAGTTTTTTTTATATAATAATTTTTATTTTACAATTTATTACAATTTAAACAATAAAACTGGATTCATATATACATATATATTTGGCAATTAGTATTGAAAAACAGCACATGGTGCGGACTTTTTTTGGTGTATATATTGTATGTAGCCATCTAGGGTTTGTTTTACAAATAAACATATATATATATATATATATCAGTTATACCTATAAAAATTAAGCCAAAAAAAATCT